ATTGTTCTTGAATTCCTTGCAGAACTGGGTGCTCTTGCTTGATGACCTTTTCTTCAACAATGTTGATCTTCTCCAAGTGAATTGGTTCCGCACATGTTGCTCCTTGAACGGTTTTATATTTCATATTATTTCACTGGCTGAGAACTATAATAAGTACAAAGAGCTAAGAGCTATTTAAGTATACTGTTTAGAACCATTGATACATAATGGAAAAATAGTATAAGAGCCTATTGCATTTGCCTCACACTGTAGTTGTATTGCACAAAGACCAAGTCATTGTTCCACTTAAGGTCCAACCGATTTCTCTGTCCTCATGGATGCATTGGGAAGTGTTCCAATTCCTCTTGGATCCATTTGCGTTGCATGTTTGGTTGAGGACACGATCAGCGGACTTCTCAAGGTTACGAGCATCCCCACCAACTCATCCCTTCCATTCAGCTGGAAATTGAATAATAGAAAGAATCATAAAGTAACTTGAGACATTATAATTTGTATTGAACTTCAAGAGGAGAAATATTAAATAATAAGATGAAGCACCTGGAAGGATATCATCACACAATTGTCTCTCTACTAAAATCTCCTTACATCTCTCATGTAATCCTAACTGGATATGCCTATGTAGATAGAACATTTCTTTCCAGGTATGCAAGCCCTTTGAAATCTCAGGATGCATTGAAAATGTGGCTTTGAATATTTTAGCTAATAGGCAGCTGCATATATAAGGCAATGCCACTGCTAGTCCCATCCATTTTTATGCATAATCTCCCTATAATCCTTGCACTTACACTTCTTATGCCTAAACGTTGCAGCAATAGCCTCCTTGGCCCTATCCTATATATTGCCTTGTAGATATATCCATGGCAGGCCTAGTATCAGTACTGACATTCTTCAACATCTTCACCAAGAGCTTTATTACTTGAATTCCATTGGCAGTTGAGGTCCAAGATTGGCTATTCTCAAAGCCAAGTCTACCATGGCCCTCCCACTACTCTTCCTGGGCCACGTTGAGTTCATCCATGCAATCGACGTAACCATGGCTTTCAAGCCATCATTTTGCTGCAACAAATTATATAAGTCTGTGTTCTAAAAACGGATTGTTGGGCTGAACCAATCTGGACCGATCAACTACCCAGTTCAGATTTGGTTCACATGGGAAAAATTGGATAGAAACTGAGAGAAAATAATGGAAAATAGAAGCAGGGGGGAATTGGCCGAGTCTTGGGGTTTTTGACTGTGACCAGTACCCTGCCGGTTCCAGTTCGAACTGGGCAACCTGATCTTCTTTAACACTGGTATAAAGTGATTAAGTTCATAGCAAATCTTGTTATTGCTGGCTTCACTAAGTCTCTCCTCTCCCATTTGTATGCTTCCTCATAAGGTTGACGACAAAGGAGTGCGTGTTGTAATACTCTTGCCTTATCTACAACCAACGAAATATCCTTCATCTTTTTTATATCTTCAAGCATCAAATCAATGCGTAATGTGTAGCACAAGATGTCCACAAAATAGACGGTAATACTCTTGCAGCAATTGGTTCTCCAATGGAGTAGTTGGCTGTATTGTCATGTTATTGCTAATAAACTGAACAACATTCTATGGCCCTACTTCTTCACCAATCTCCTTTGACAATCCGGCTAATGCTTCCCATGCTTTTTTAATATCTGGGGCATCCATGCTCCGTAAGAAAAATTACCCTTTATTACAGTACATTAAAAATTTAGTCAACTATCTCTCTCCCATTGGTCCACGCATCAACTATGAGGGAGCATTAATGGCTTGCCCATATCACCCTGTAAGTCTCAATTTATCCCTTAACCTCTTCCACATTCTTTTTCAACAACCGATGCCTAGCATCATCGAAGCTATGGCCCTTAAACCCCTTGGCCTAGGGATGTTATGGTGTCCAATATAGGCTGAAAATTGAAGGCACTTAGGGCTGAGTTATGCATCCACAGGGTTAAACATGTATGCCCTTTTTATTGCCTTCTCAGGCAACACACTCTTGTTAGTTGGTAAGGTACCTGGTGGTGTAATAGGTGGAAAAATCTCCTATCCTACCATGCCCGCCCCTTAGGCATGATAGTTGTACTTGTAGTTGTAGCAAACTCATTCCTCGCTCTTTCTCAAATACTATGCAGTCTGGAGCTTGTCTTTTTCATCAATATTAGAAGACTCTACGGGGTAGGTAAAGGGGTCCCCAATCTCATTGGTTATTACTTGCCTTCTTTGCTTCTCAGTTTTATGACCTTTGATGCTTGTGTATGCATGGCATGAGCGAGAGCTTTAGGGCATTTCACCTAATTCCCACATTGGTGAAGCGAATGATCCATAACGTGATGTATGCCCACTCCCTTTATTAGTTTTTCACTATATATGCGCACATTTCATGCATCTCTCCATTCAATACCCTATTGACATGCCCCTGCACCAGGTCTGATGAAGCTTTATTAGACCCACTTGAAGACCTCTTTTTATTATCTGTCTAGAGTCCCAAACCACTAATCTCACAGTTCCCATAAACAAATTGACAAATAAATGAAATAAATCAGCATTTGCCATAGTTACACTTCAAAAAAGACACTAACACAAACTTATTGGCGATTTGAAACATTAAAGTTGTTTTTTGTATTATCCATCTAGAGTCCCAAATCACTAATCTCACTGTTCCCATCCCACAAATCCTCTAACAAATTGACAAATAAATGAAATAAATCAGCATTTTCCATAGTTATACTTCAAAAAGGACACAAACACAAACTTATTAGCAATTTGAAAGGCTAAATTTGTATTAGAATTAGAAAACCCTATGTTTTATGAATTAAACAAGTACACAAGAAAAATAAAACATTTAAAAATGCTTTACTTTCCTTGAAAAATATTGAATGAGTAGGATTATGAATATTGTATATTCTAACAAAAATTCGATTGTTCATTTCAATATCAATGTAAAGAAAACTGAAAACACAAGAAAATTGCACAAATAATTTCTGTAGTTCAATAAGTTTCTATAGATTTATTTAAGTATTAAACAACCAAAGAACACTAAAAAAAAATTTCATATCAAAATTTTAACCAAATTCTAATTATAGAATTATTTAATATAACAAGGTTCTCTATATTTCCATTAAAGTATTAGACAACCAAAAATAAAACAAGAAAAGTAATTGAAAACAAAAAACTAAAAACTGACCAAATATTTATTTACAAAAATTGCACGAAATCAACCCAATAAGCAAATACCTACAACATTAAACTACTAAAGCAAAATATCTGTTATATACTTACTTCAAAAAAAAAAAAAAAATCTGTTATATTGAATCCAATAAACAACCCATTGCAATGATTTGAAAAGAAAAATTTCAATATTTGCAAGGCACCTAAAAGTTTGATTTTTTAATTTTATTAAATATGAAAACACGAATCAAAAAATAAATTGTAGAAACTTAGATTGGGGGTTGAATTAATGCAGATTGAGTGGCCAAAATCCCCTTAGAAACTCACTGAAATATCACTTACAATCTAGGGTTTTTTGGTAGAGAGGGAGAGCAAAAATCTTTGAAGTTGTTCCATCTCTCTCTCTTTCTAAAAACCTAATTCTAAATCCAAAAACCCATTCAAATGGTATAAATTATCAAAACACCCCTCATCAAATTCAAAAAGGGCAAAAAAAAAGATCCCGAAAATGATCGAAATGGACCCAATAAAGGAAAAAAAGGTCCTTTTTGGTCATTACTGTAGCTTATTTGGACAAGCCGGTCCGCTATAGACCGATCGAACGACCAGTTCAGGCATTGAAATGGTTATGCCGGGGCAATGCTCCCACCGGTTTGGGAGCATCATACTAACCGTTTGATGTATTGGCTCACCAGTTCTTGGTCCGAATGGCTGGTCTGATCCTGTCTTGATTTCATTGTTCCAAATTATAAGGTCGGTTGATCTTATTGCTAATTTGGTAGAAGGTGGCTTTTCTACAAAGGATTGTGCGAGGCACGGTGTGAAATTGTCGACTCCTGCGACGGGAACATGGAAGCTCAATTTTGATGGAAGTTCCAAGGGTAATTCATGAGGCGTTAGAGATGATGAGGAGAAGCATTAAGTCATATTCGAGGGCCTATTGGAGTTTGAGTTTGTGATTCCTGTTTCGTCGTGGGGAGAAGCAAGGACGCTTGTGATGGGACTCAGGCTTTGCAATGTGACGCACATGTTCTGATTATCATAGGAGGTTTAAATGTGATTCAATGACGAGTAAATAAGCTGAGGTGCTTTGGAGGCTGGCATATATCTTTTAGGAGATTTGAGATATATCTCTGTTGAGAAATATTTCATTTTGCCATGTGCATAGAGAAGCAAATTGTTAGGCAAATAGGTTTAATGAGGGTGTGTACTGAGTGGTTCTCTGTGTCCATTCTATGAGTATAAGTTTTTGTTACAGGTTGAAAGACAATGATATCTATAGTCATTATTGTTGTTTTCTGAGCATTGGAATGCTTGGTGATTTTAATAAAAACTTATGATGTTGATTCTTGATTGTTATCGTTAATCTGGATTGGAGTGCTATTTCCTACCTGATGATGCATATAATTATTAATTTGTGGTATGTTGACCATTGGCAACTAAAGGTCTGAATCATGCAGATCTAAATCGCGAAATTGTTTTATGCAGACATGCTCACGAACACGTATGCATGTATGTATAGACATACACATATTCATTGCATATTTACTGAAATGAAGGAAAACTATGGTCAATAATATTACTGTTTTTGTTGCAGTATATTGTAGTGTCTTCCAAGGAGCTTTCAAATTAAACTCTTGAAATTGAATTCTGGTGAATGTGTAAATCAATTTTATTGAGTATTGCATTGGCCATCTTCTTTGATGCAGGTTTAGTAGGCGTGCTGGTGAAAGTTTGCTGTGAATCTTATTTTTACATAATTATATATTCAGTTGCACCTTTTGGTTGTTGACGTTCGAATGCTTATTTCCAAGTTTCCGCTGCAGGTACTTGTGATGACAGCCCAAATTCTATTGAATATTTTACGCCATAGCATTATCCGGATGGAAGCAATTCATCTACTTATATTGGATGAATGCCATCATGCTGTGAAGAAGCATCCATACTCACTTGTAATGTCAGAGTTCTATCACACAACGGCGAAGGAGAAAAGACCTGCAGTTTTTGGCATGACTGCTTCTCCTGTCAACTTGAAAGGTATGTGTTTGGATTATTGTATCTCTCTTCTTATTCGGTTCCTTTTACCTGTTGCAAATATGCATTTCCTATCCTTGATATTCATTTGAGGAAAGCCACTCAATGAATATTTATTTTGGCTTCCTGTGTTTTGTTTCTACAACTTGACTAGTACTTTTCTCTCTGTGCAGGAGTTTCCAGCCAAGAAGATTGCGCGATAAAAATTCGCAATCTTGAAAGTAAACTCGATTCGATTGTGTGCACGATAAAAGACCGGAAGGAGCTGGAGAAGCATGTTCCAACTCCTTTAGAAGTTGTGGTGGAGTACGACAAAGCAGCTACCTTGTGCTCTCTTCATGAGCAAATAAAACAGATGGAATTTGATGTGGAGAAAGCTGCACTTGCAAGTTCCAAAAGGAGCAAGTGGAAGTTTATGGGGGCCAGAGATGCAGGAGCCAAAGAAGAATTACGGCTTGTCTATGGGGTTTCTGAAAGAACAGAAAGTGATGGAGCTGCCAATCTTGTTCAAAAATTGAGGGCTATTAATTATGCCCTCGCTGAATTGGGACAGTGGTGCGCCTACAAGGTAATCTATTGGTCAAATAGTTGCATTTATGTACTTGATGTATACAATAATCTAATAGACAACTGAAAATCATAGTCCATTGAGGTAATCAGCATCCAATCAAATGATGGATGATGATGGAGAGAGTGGGACCCACCAGCACATGACATGACGCCATCAAGAACCATAGTCCATATGTACTGTAATATTCCTTCCTTTTCCAATATGCTTCCTAATGACTCAAAATTCTTTGTGTTTCCAGGTTGCACATTCCTTTCTGACTGCCTTACAGAGTGATGAAAGGGTGAATTATCAGCTTGATGTTAAGTTTCAGGAATCCTACTTGAAAATGGTCGTGGACCTCCTTCATTGTCAGTTAACTGAGGGAGCTGTCCCTGGAAAAGATGCAAAAGGAAGCGATGAAGAAACTGCTGATGTGCAGAGAGGGGATCATGATGAAATTGAGGAGGGTGAACTGCCTGACAGTCATGGTGAGACTTTTGCTGTTTTCAACTGTTACTCTTCTATTTTGACCATATGTACTATATACTCAGCCTGTGAATGAAAAAGCATACATTAATGGGTTGTTAGCTGTTTGATTGGATCTCATTGGGAGGGCCAGCTGTTATTTTTATCAGAATTTCAAAAGATAAGATCCAACTGGATGATCATCTAGGATCCAATTCAATGGCTGGAAAACCAGTAGTTTTATTGCTTTTCCACACTTGGGTCTCGTATATACTTCAAGAAGATTTGTTGCAGGGCCGCTGATGAATCTAGGCGCCTCAAATATCAGAGTCCACTTGGAAAATGTATTACCATCTCTATCTACTAACCAAACTGTTTTGGTATCAGAAAAGTTGCTGTGAGTTCTGAAGATTCTATGTCTATTGACATGGACACTGGAATGCTGTATGGAAAATGGGGTACCTGCTTATACGGAGTACCACATGGAACTCATTTGAATTGACAATATAAAGCCCCTTGTATGAGTACCCTGTCTACTTCTCATTATGGTCCTTTAGAAAAGAACTGGAAGGATTAGTTATGTAAGGCATTTAACATTATTAGCCATAACTGACATTTTCCTTACTACAAATGAGTTTCATATGGTACCTTATGTCAGTAGATTAACTCCACAGTGCTTCCCATAACTGAGTTTTTGAGGGTTGGCTTGAAAAGTTGGTGAACATTTGACTGCAAATGGAAAGAGTAGTTATGCTTTTTCTTTGATTTCTTAGATTTCTTAGATCAAGCTTTTGGCCTCAAAGCGATAGTGGATATTCCTTTTTTTTCTTTCTGACCAGAAAGCTGGTCTGGTACCCACAAGCTTGAGTTGTAACAATGACTGCTCCTCTGGTACCTGTACGATCTTGTGTGGTTTGCATAGGTGTAAATATGGGTGTCTTAGAAAGCATGTCCATGTTTTAGTCATTCGGGGCTAATCCTGGATGCATACAATAAAATAGGAATAATGCATATCTCAGAAATGACCCGTTGTAAAGTAGGCATAACGCATATTTCAGGAACTTATTATGTTTATTAGAAATAAAAGTACAAATTAAAAGACAAAAATCTAGGAAAAACTCATAAAGATAGATTAAAATGTATAAATGTAGATAATTGGATAACTTTATGAGCTTTAGAAACTCAAAGAAGAATTATGTTTTGGATTGCTTATAAATGACATCCTGTTTATGATACACATTTCAAACTCCAAACCGGGCCCATCCTTCTCAAGAGTAAGTCGTAGGGGACCTGCTTCTTGTATTTGAACTCATACAAGGAGGCTTAGCTTGCTGTGTTCCATGGGTAAAGATGTGTCACAAATGCCATTTAATCATGGAAAATTTATCAAATTTATCAAATTGCACCAAAATTTTTGACAATTTATATTTTACCCTTTTTCAGCTATTCCAACTCATGGTCATGTGTATTTTGATGGACATTTTCAGATTAAATCAAATGTTGTAGAGAAAATGTTAAATAGCTGATCTCTTATGTGTATTTTGATAAATTTTCCTTTAATCGTTATTACCAATAATGTAATCTACAAACAAAATGTATATTCACTTGTGTACACTATTATTTTAGCATTTACTAAGTCAGCTAGTAAACAAGTAAGTTAGTGACTAAGTACAAATTTTAAATGGAATCCTGACATCTCTGTGTGTTTGTTTATCTAAATATTTATATGTGAACATATATGCATGTGGTTGTACGCTTATGGTTATGCATACATGTGTATGTACTTGTGTAGCTTTGCTTCTTTTTGCTAACACTGATATTATTTTCTTGGAGAATTTCTAGATTTTTATTGAGCTGTATATTGTATGTGCATGTTTAGTACTTATTTAGTTGTTAAATTAATTTCTAGAAAATCATTGACAAATAATAAATTATTAGGTATGGCTGGAAAAGTGCCTTTAAGAGAAGAGCTTTTAAGAGAAGAGCTTTCTATCCTCACAGCGTGTGAACCAGAAGATTGCCAATCTCCCATTTAGTTGCATGTGAAAATCCAAGACAAATATATAAGATATGTCTAAAAGGTTGGATCCTCGACTTAAGCCATATCGGGCATCAGTCATCGATCAGGACTCAAGATAAATATATGAGATGTGTCTAAGGTCGGATCCTCAATTTAAGCCATATCGGGCATCAATCATCGGTCAGAACCCAAGACGAATATATGAGATGTGTCTAAGGTCGGATCCTCAACTTAAGTCATATCAGGCATCAGTCGTCGGTCAAGACCCTAATAAATTCATGAATAAATATAGAAAAAGCGGATAAATCTAGAAAACATTGAAATTATAATTGGATTTTTTTTATCATTTGATTTTACATATAAACATATATATTATGTTTTCTTTTTTCCCCTTGTATTTCTCACCAACTTACATTGTTGCTTCTTTGCATACCCCTTAATTTAATTACTACTATTAACATGACATTTCAAAGAGCATAGAAGTTAACGATTAGCAATTGGTTGATGTGCAATTCTACAAATAGATTGCTCTATTCTATGATTTTTCATTCATGAAACGTCCTGGTACAAAATGCTAAATGCATTTATCATATACCGTGAATTCATCATAGAGCGTCACTTGACAATGTCAATGTCAAAATGACTCGTATACTCCATCATAAAATTCTGAATTTAGTCATGTGTATATATATATGTATGTCATTAAATGTCAAGGTGTAATGGGCTGCGAATACAGTGACACTAAAGATAAATGATGGTTCTAGTCCTAAAATGCAAATATGAAATGTAGGAATGGTATTTCATTGTGTCATATGAGAGCATTGAGGGAGTAACAATGTGGTCAAATGCGATCTTTGAAGGGGGTGGGAAACCCACTGATTAGCAGTGCAACTTGCATGCGTACCATATGTCCCCTCATAAATTGCCTATAGGTGTGGTAGAACTGTTACGCAGTTGCAATATAATTTCCGTAGAGTAAAAGGTATCAGGAGATAAACTCCATTTCAGTAAATTACGAAGAAATCTAATTGGGGCCTTATAGGTTTTAAAAGGGTTGGGAGAATGACTATGGTCATGCTCTTGAGATTTTCATGGAGTTGAGGAATGTTGAAAAGTTGTACGTATTGCCCTGGGGTACCACATTACTATAGTTGGTGAGATCCGGGATGGTAGCTAGAGATGTGGCTGATAATCGTTTGTGGGGTATTGACTGTTTATGCAGCCTCTAATAGGGCATTTATTGTTGGTTTGTGTTGAAAAATCAAAAGGGAAGACTTTCTTTTGGATTTCTCTAGATTAGAGATTTCTGGTTTTTGGCATGCCTCATGTGTAATTTAATATTGGTTTGTCTATCCTAAAACTTTTTGTTGATAAGTTATTCTTCAACTTGTGTGAATGATTTGGTATGTAGTTGTGCTGACATATTCCCTTCGTTCTATTTATGACATAGTTGCTTCTGGTGGAGAGCATGTTGATGAGATAATTGGGGCAGCTGTAGCAGATGGAAAAGTGACTCCTAAAGTTCAGTCTTTGATTAAAGTTCTTATGAAGTATCAGTATACAGAAGATTTCCGTGCCATCATATTTGTGGAACGGGTGGTTGCAGCTTTAGTTCTTCCAAAGGTTGATCTTTATGGAGCCATTTGTACTTAGTTTTGTCTATTTGGTATAGAATTATGATCTCTCATATTATTGTATCATATTTTAGAGTTAGCTAAATCCATCTACATTTTGCAGGTGTTTGCTGAACTCCCATCATTAAATTTTATCAAGTGCGCGAGCTTAATTGGTCACAACAACAATCAGGAGATGCGCACACGCCAGATGCAAGAAACCATTTCGAAGTTTCGTGACGGTCGAGTATGTTAACGGATTTTGTTAGGTTTATGATGCCTTATGACCAGTTTGGATGACTGATTTAAAATTGTTCTCATCAAAAGCTCAAAGGTTTTACAATGTTGAATTTTTTTAAATTTTTTCTATTTTGTTTTAGGAAAAAGTTTATTTAAGGTGTCAACCTTATACTATTGAAGTAAGGTGCACCAAAAAAATCCTATAAAAGAGTGTTTCGATGTTGAAAAGCCCTCCAATTGATCATCTCGACCTCGAGATATATGGATATGAAGGGGAAAAAAAAAATTCAAGTCCTAAACATAGTGCATCTTGTAACTAATTATCTAGACGGTCCATTTTCAAGATTTTTAAGTGTTTGTAAATTTGCTTGTATTATTTTTGGAATTTAAATTCATGACTAAGGATGAAAATAGAATTTCAAGCCATTATAAGGTTTTTGGCATTAGAACTATATCTCCGGGCAAAATTTCGAGGTGCGCCTTACTACTATAGTATATAGTATAAGGAGGGTGCCTTATAAAAACCTCACCCTTTTTTTTATTGTGTCCACAAATTGTTTTCTTGCACATGAAGGGAGAGAGAGGAAGAAAAAGAGAGATCTCTCCTCCCCACAAAGCAAAGCTATTGAACTCACTCGATATCTCTCATTTCTCACCGAAAAGGCCTTAATTTTTCTCTCTAAAAACATTCACATGGGGAGAGATAAACCATTCGACTCTACAAATGAAGCCTCTTTCACCTGCTATATGCGGCTCAGGAAACCCTATCTTTTTTCTCCCTAGAAACATTCACCTAAACTTTCACATGTGGACAGAGAAATCAAAGAATTGGCTCTTCATTGGCAAAATGCACTTGGGGTGACCAAGAAGCGCCCTAAATTAGGTTTTCATCAGAGAGTTGCAAAAAGTGGTTCCATGAATTCTTTGAAATGGATAAAATTTGAGGGATTAAAAATCAGAAGAAAAACATTAGTTTAATATGAAGCCATGAATCATCATCGTCATCAAATCCTTATTCCATCTTTTAGGAGTCGGCTACACGAATCTTGTTCTGCCATTCCGTTCTATGAAGGGCCATACCGGCATACCCTCAGACAGACCATAAGTCACTTATCTCTTCTCAGTACTTCCATCCATATCCTTTTGGGCTTTCCCCCACCCATTTAAAGCCTTCCACTTGAACTATATCACCCATCTTAATTGGTTTTGTTTTAGGTCGACATTGCACATGTTCAGACAACCCAAGTCTACTTTCCCTCATCTTATCATCTATTGGAAAGCTACCCTTAAGTTCTCTTGGATGTATTTATTCTGAATCTATCCTTTCTCGTCTTGCCTCTTATCCATCATTAACATCATCGCAGCTACACTCATTCTATGAATATATTGTTTCTTGACCGCCCAACATTCTTTCCCATAAATCATGATTGGTCTTACAGACATCCCTATCAGTTTCATTGGTATGCTACAATCACATAAGACTCTAGAAGCACATCTCCACTTCGTCCACCTTGCTCTAATTTTGTGTGTGACATCTTCCTCAATCTCTCAATTCTCATGGATTATTGAACCAATATATAAAAAACAATTTCTTTTTTGTACTTTTTAGCTATTAATTTTAACTAGTTCCTTGTCTCTACTCCAATTGTTACTAAACTTGCATTCTATATATTCTTAATCTAGCTAATTTTAAAGTATTTATATTCTAGAGCATCCCTCAAAAGTTCTAGTTGTTTTGCATTGACATCTTTTCTTGTCTCATCAATCAAAGCTATGCCATTTGCAAACAACCTACATCATGGTACCTCATCCTGGAGATGTCTAGTTAACTCGTCCATAACTAACGCAAAGAGATATGGGTACGTCTACTATGGCTGAGAACTCACTTGTCTCTGAACTAGTTGTCTTCACACTAATTAGTAGTCCCTCGCACAATATGCCTTACCATGTCAATGTGTCATCAAGTGACTCATTTCTTTTTTGATACCCACCAAATTAACTCTGAGAATCCTATTATATGCTTTCTCTAAATCAATAAAACCAAGTGGAGATCTTTAATCTTCTCTCTAAACTTCTCAATCAATTGCCGAAGTAGGAAAATAGCCGCAATGGTTGGCCTTCCTAGCATAAAACCTAATTGGTTTTCTGATACACTTGTTTCATGTTTATTCGTCACTCAATCATTTTCTCCCTTAGTTTCCTAGTGTGTATCATAAGTTTGATCCCTCGATACCTCGTACAACTTTGTATGTCCAATTTGTTCTTAGAAATAGGTACCATGATACTTTTTCTCCATCGTCTGGCTTTTTCTTTGTTCCCAAAATTATGTGGTCAACCAGAATATGCCAATCTCTCTCATGTACTTCCAAAGCTCTATTAGTATATCATGTGATCTTAAATCCTTTCCTATCTTCATCTTTCTCAAAGTTTATTTCATTTCAATTATCTTAATTTTACGAATGTATTCATGACTTCCAACCTCATTTATATCAAATGTTTCTCCCAACACTGTGCTCCTAGAGTAGTCATCATTTAACAATTTTTGGAAATAAATTCTCCTCCTTTCATTGACCTTATCATCCTTCACTAGGACCCTCGAATCCTCACTCTTAATGCATTTAATATGATCTAGATCCCTACACATCCTCTCTCAGTTTTGCTAGTTTGAAGCCATCTTTTTCACCTTATATGTCTGTAGTCATCGTGTAAGTCATCGTATGCCTTAGGCTTACTATGTCTGTAGTGTTCTTCTTTGGATTTTTATATTCTTCAAAGTTTTCATTATTCTTATTCCACTGCCAAGCTCTGTAACATGATTGTTTTTCGCTAATAGCGTTCGAACCTCATCACTCTGCCACCAAATTTCCTTATCTCAATGTCGTTTCACTCTAGATTCCCTAAAAATGTCTTTTGCCTCTTTCTTAATACAATTAGCCATCTCATTCCACCGAACGTTAACTTTGTCATCATAATTCTATTTTCCTTCTTTTATTAATTTACTCTTAAATAAGTTTATTTTCTCCCTTTTTAAATTCCACCTCCTAGTTCTTGCATACCTATTAATTTCACTCATACTTTTCCATCTTTTTATGCAAACATCTATAACCATGAGCCTATATTGCTTGGTCAAACTCTCTGTTGGTTTAACCTTACAGTCTTTACATGATGATCGTTCTACCTTCTTAACTAGAATAAAATCTATCTAGCGTTTGTACGATCCACTTGCTTAAGTCACTAAATGTTCACCTTGCTTTTTAAAGTATGTGTTTGCTATTGCCAAGTTGTAAACCATAGCAAAATCAAGAATAGCATCAACCATCTGTTTTCTTTCCCCAAATCATATCCTCCATGTACCCTTTTGTATCCTTTACTATCTTTTCCTACATGGCTATTTAACTCCCCTCAGAAAAATGTCATCTCTATTTGGTATTCCTTGGAGTAGTCCATCCATGTCCTCTCAGGATTGTATTTTAATTCTATCTTCCAGTCCTACATGTGGCGCATAAGCACAAATTGCATTAATATCTCCTCCGCAAACGCAAATTCAATTATAGGAGCCTATCACCTACTCTTAACATTTATTACTTTACCTTTTAAATCTTCGTCCACCATTATACATACACTATTTTTTATTATTATCTTTTCTTGTATACTAAAGTTTACATCTATCAATTTCCTTAGCATTTACCCCTTTCTGCTTAGTTTCCTGTAAGTAAGCTATGTTAGCTCTCCTTTGACTCATTGTATCTACTAACACCAAGCTCTTACCTAGTAGGGTTCCTACATTCCATGTGCCTAGACGAATCTTATTATCTTTTACAAGCTTCTTTACCCACTCTCATCGAAAATGGCACATGAAACCTTGCCTACTTATCACACCAACTGGGTGTCATTGCCCCGTGTCGTTTCTAGGAATGAATGGAATAAAAGAGTCTCTAGCTTTCTTATAGAAAAGACGCATAGTTAATGGTGCTGGTTTTTAGTCACATATAGAAAGGGCATATGGTGTTTCAGAAACTCTGTTGTTTTACCTTGGATTTGTATGGTAATAGCAGAAATACCTTAGGGTTCTCTGTGGCTCAGAGTTCCTACTGCTTTAAGAGATCTTCATGAGTTTCAAGCAAGTTTTTTGACAACAAAAGGTGGGGGATGGGGGGGGTGAGAGAGGGAGAAACTGAGTGTATTTGGTTGCAGGAGTAGAAAGAGGAGGGAGATTAAAGCCAGATAAAGGGACTGCAGGGGGGGAGAGAGAGAGAGAGAGAGAGAGAGAGAGAGAGAGAGAGAGAGAGAGAGAGAGAGGA